TAAAAGTTAGCAGGCCTGTATCATAGTCTAGTGCTAAACATTTTTTCAAAGGTAACACATATAACACACACTTGGTTTAAGCTGGCTTCTTTAAAACAGGATAGATGACTTCTTCTTTACCTCCCTCACAAACCTATGCTAGCAACAATCATTCAAAAAACCACACTTGTTTTCTATCGGCTTCTGACATCAATGATGCACTAATGTCAAGAGAAATCACTCTGCATCATAAACTTAACTGATCTTGCTTGGCTGATGCACAATCTGATTCTCAGTTTGTGAACACTGTCAACTTAAAGTGATGGTGGCAGGGAAAAATCGAAGAGCAAAGCAGCAAGCTGACTACACTTCCACAGGAAGGCTTTAATCATTTTTATACAGGGCAAAAGATTCCCAAATCATCCTTATTAGAAGGAAGCTTAGGCATTTTATTTATTTACTTGTTTGCTTATGAAAACTGTTTATTGGAAGTACAACTGAAGAGGTGCAGCTGAGATTTGAGCAAAGGATTGGCAGGCCCCCAGAGGCAGAAATAGTGAGAGGCCATTGCTACCCCTAGGGTCACAGAGACAAGGGAGGAAAGAAGTTTCTGGAACCCAGTGAGAGTTAGAAACATGGGGGAGGGACCGCCCAGAGGGAAACTACCATCACAGAAGAACGCAGCTCCTGTATGAGCTTTACACTGAAGTAGGAGGAGAGGAAGAAGTAATGCTTCTACTATTCTCTCCTTCCATCCTCCTATCTCATGCCAGTACCAACCCTTGGCTGAGCCCAGATAGAAATCAAGATGGTAAGGGAATATGGAGAAGCAGTCCAAAGAGACGACCTTCTGGTACTGGACAGGTCAGAGAGAGGGGTGAATAATAGATATTCTTTCTATTCTTAACTCCTCCCTCCCCTTCCCAGTCACTCAGTGTTGCTCATTCTACAGCCCTTGCCTAATGATGATAGCGAGCACAATAATTCCTTATACGTCTTGAGCACTATGGATGGTCAGGCATGTGCTGCGCACTTTCTATGTGTGATCTCGTTTAATCCTTCCTGCACTCTTATGACAGGTCATATTACTAACCCCAGTAAAAGATGTGGAAACTGTACTCAAGGCTACAGAGCTACTATGTGGCAGGCTCAGAGTTTAAATCCAGCAGGAAGCCGGGGCTCTGACCTACTTTTTCCAGCTTGGCAAATTCAACATTTTAAGGCTTTAGTATAATGAGATTACTCTCATTAATTTAATTTAATGAGATTACTCTTCACTTAATGAAGCCTATCCAATTTCTCCTGTCCTTTCTTTTCCTATTCTCTCCCCATTTCCACCCACATTTATTACAATACACTTTGTTATTTTGCACTGGGCCATGTATTAGCTCCTTCAACAAATATATTTTGAGAGCCTGCTTTAACAGACAGAGTGCTTGGTGCAGGGTATCATCAGTAAATAAGCCTGGACCTGGCCTTCTACAGACCAGTGGGAGAGGCTTTAAACAGTCAACCACACAGTACACCATAAAACCCTAGGTGGTAACTGCTGTGAGGAAAATCTTCAGGTGCTCATCCTATGTCTATCTCCAGGTATCACATGAACTCCACTAAAGCCACAACACTGACATCTCTATTTTCCTATCACTCACTGGTTCCCTGTGTTCATATGTAGTCGGAGTTGTACTAATAAATTACAGAATCTGTTGAGGTTAGAAGTTAGATTCCCAATTGGAAATTGAAATCAACCTGTAGAAAGAGAATGGTCAACCTTTTTGGCCTCATGACTAGAGTTTCAGTGACAGGAAGACAAATATTATGAATGAGAAAGACTGGATTTGATCAAAGGCAAGGTTGTCTCAGTATAAAAATATACTTTTTCTACTTGATATAGTATGAATTTGATGGAGTTCAGAACATAATGAAAAGCTCTATTTACTCAAACTTTTGCCAGAAGGAAGATGTTGAGTGAGGGCTTGCAAGGATAAACTGGCACTAAAGAGTTCTTGTTACTGCTTGTTCATACTGTTTACCCCTTTTCCATCTGCTGAATACAAAACATTTAACAAGTGGTATTTACAAAAGCGTATTCAAATGAAATCCCCAAATATTATATTTTAAATCTCAAATTTCATTTGAGATGCACTCACAAGTGTTTGCTATCAAATAGCTATAATATTTTGAAGTAATTTTAACTTTCTATGTTAAGTACTTTTGAATTGACAGTAGCCATAACAAATGCTTAAAGAGTGGCATTTTCAATATACTGTAACTCAATGACTCTAAAAGGATAATACTGAATTATAATATTGAATAAGGGTTTTATCAACAGATAGAAAACCTACTTTAGGCTGTAAACATTATTATGAAGAGATTTTAAGTTGCTTAGACATGTTAGACATTAGTAGTAACCTCTTTTCTTTGTTTCCTTATGATTCCATTTATTGCATTCTAGTACTTGAATCCACCACTCTTAAAGGTATGATAAACTACACTAATTTAAAAGTGGTTTCTGTTATTCAGGAAACTGCATAAAGAGTAAAAATCAATGCTTCAGGAATTGTTTGAATTATTCCCTAGAACTTTGTACAATATAGAACAGGGGGATTATGTAGCTTCTCTGCTAAGATCTCTTCTACAAGAGTAAAAAGAGTAACAACAATCATTCCCAAATTATTTGGTAGCTTTATTTTTCTTGAAAGATGCCTAATATTTTCACTTACTATTGAGATTTTCAACCCTCATCCATTTTCAAGGATTTTAACTGCCTCATGATCACCATTTGTTTTGTACTGAATTCCTCCTCTCACCAAAGCAAATTTCTTTCTTATTTGCTCATAGAAAGTATAAAACAGAGTTTACTAGATTTGAGACCTTGATCCATTTGTTCTCTACTTGTCTTCTTTCCTACAACCCAACTGATAGACACTGGAGGAATCCTGACACTGAGGAAAGTTATCAGAGTGCCCTTGCTTTACTCAGAATTAAACAAATAGAGGATCATACATTTTTCAACTTTTCCCTATTTTGCTCTTAATACGTGTGCATTGTGATACATTATGCTCATCACAACATGTTTTGGTGATCTGGGATGAAATAAGACCTATCACATTTTACTGTTGCTATAATTGCACCTTATATTACTCATTTTTTTACTCATTTCATAAGAACAATATATTTTAAAAATCATTTCTACTTTGATTCAATTATGTAAATATGTTTTAATTGCCAAAGTCCAAAACAGTGTAGTCTTTTTTATACATATTATATATATATTAATTATATAAATACATAATATACACAAATTATATAACTCTAAACATAATTTAGAAAAAATCAAATATCCTAAGTTATGGAATAACAAGTTCTTCTAAAACTAGTAATTTCTGATGACATCAATAACAGATAATTGAAATAAAAATAACTTAAAACAGTAAGAATATATGGAGTCAAATGAAAGTATTCTATTGCTTTGAGGACAGAGGTAAAATCATAGGGAGGTTATTATTTTAGTTGTACAATTGTGTAACCTTAAAAATGCACCTTTTAGACAGTAAAAAAGTATTTTTTCTGATTCATATGCCTTAAAGAGACTAGCCTGCACAAAAACGGAAAATAAAAAAATTAACTAAGGGAGTCAAGCAGTTTCAAAGGCCGATTAATTGCTCAGTAAGAGGTTTTGACTAACTTACTCTAGCTCATCACTGCAACTGTGCAGGGAAATACTTGCTGAATTCCATCCCCCCAAAGCTGCAGAATGAATAACATAGTGACCACTGCTTCCAAGGCACAGGCAGAAACTTACCTTAAATGGAGATGACTTCAAACAGCCTTTGAAACCACTCCATCCTGCCATTCTGCTGTAATGACAAGGATGAAAACTACTGCCACAAGCCTCATCGTTTTCTGCTTCATTTACCACAAAGGTTCCCAATTTTACCGCTTATTAGTCACCTAGTAAGGCTCAAAAATTTGCAAGATGACTGTTCTGGGGTGGGCCTGGAGCACTGGTGTGTCTAAAAGATCTTCAGGGGATTCTAAGGCATAATCAGAGCTGGGAACCAATGCTTTACTCCCTCCTGGGTTTTCCTGCCTTCAGTCTTGCCCTCCTATTGCATCCTCTGTTAATGCTGCCAGTAGGCCCTTTCTGTAATGCACACAGACTCAAATTCAAACTGAGCACAGCATAAAAGACTAGACATGATCTGCTATTAAATACCTGCCTGGCTGCCTCTTCCCTCCTTTTTCCCCACTTGCTCTACCAACATGCCTGCCTCGGCCTCTGGGTCTGAGCACTTACTCATCCCCTGCTCTGAAATGCTCTCTCCTGTTCACCTGTTTATTTGCCTGGGGACCGCATCTTCTCTGTGAAGCCTCTCCTGACATTCTAGCCCATATTCCTCTTCTGTGTTCTCAAAGCACAAGCATACTGGGTTTCATGGTTTTGTTTGTTTTTGGACTACTCATATTGAAGTCATTTTAGAACATATGTTTCTCTCACCTTGATTAGATATTTTTGGAACAAGGACTATGCCACATTGTCCTCTCTGTCCCCAAATTTATTACACTGCCTAACATCCACTGGTATTTTGAATTTGCTGCATAAATGAATGAATAGCATTTTATACTGTTTTCACTTATTATATAGACAGAGCCAGAGGAATCTCACATTGGGTCCACTGGAAAAAATCAAGCTTATACAAAAATTAAAAAAAAATTCTTAGTATTAATTTAATATTTAGTAATCATAATGACAAATACCTTAAAGATAAGCCTTTCAATTAAGGTATTAGATCAATTTTAAACATGGTTAAAGTCAAAGAAAAGCTTTAGTTAAATCTTCAATAGTGCTCTCTTATCATCAACCTCCCCAAACCACAATTTTCAGAATTGTAGCCAATATACACTCACCTGAGATTCTGGTAAGGCAAGGAAGCCCACTGAATGCCCAGCACAAGCCGGCCTAATCGGCTGCTCCCATCATGGGACATCTAACCCACAGCTCTGGTGAACATACTTACTTTGTATTTGCTTTCTGATCTGGAAGGGGTGGGAATATGTCCTTTTTTCTTGAAGGTTGTAAAGTGCTTGCACTGAGGACATGGCTTGGTGCTGGAATCAATGCGGCCAAGTTCCAAGAAGTACTTATACTTGATGGAATCTTCATGTGTTAAGTTATAGATAACCGTTGTTTCTTCCAGGAATTCAAAACATTCTGTGATAGGGCATTTGATTTCTACTTGGCCAAGTTGTACCTGTGTGAAAGAGCAGGCAGGAGAGAAAAAACAAAACAAAACAAGCATTGGTTATTAAGTTTCCCTTCTTCTTTTCATACAGTACTGCTTATGTCATGATTACTGTAAAAAATTATCTGTCATTTTTCATAATTCCCAACATAATAAATGGCAATCACTTTGGTACCTCCGTTAGGCAGTACCAAATAATTACTAACTATGTAATACTTCCAAAATGATCTATAGTGTGTTTAAGCATTCTCATCTTTATATTTCTGAACTTAAGTGGACCTAAGCCACAGGCTCACCAAAGCAAATTATCATCCCATCATTCAGGAAACTGCAGGGTGAATAAGCATTCAGACAATGTGCCAACTAAGGGTACAGCTGGGATGGAAAAGTATTTTAGATTTTTAACCTCAGCTCTGAAGTTAGGGCAAATTTAACCTCTTTAAAAGGACAAAAAAAAAGATTTTGACAGTGTATGTGTGTATATACATATATACACTCACCTGAGACTCTGGTCTCACACACACATACACACACACACACACACACACACACACACACACACAAACATACAGTTCTTAGGTTATCAGAATTACAGGAACCAGTAAGAAAATTAAACCAATCACAGTGGTGTAAAAAATATCCCATGTGAGGTTTGGTGACTACTGAGGCAATTTATAAAATGAGTTTCTTCAATGGACCACAGAGTTAGATTAGGAAACAGAAGGATACACTGGAATGCTACAGTCAGCATCGGCATGGGAGTCTAGTTACGGCTACCATTACAGACTACAGTATAAGGCCAAAGTACTAAGTGTGGAGAAAACCAAATTTTAAAAGATGAATAAAATAAACTGTTTTGAAATAAGCAGTACCAAAAATAAGGAGTGAACAAGAGTTCTTTATATTCATGGCATCACCCCCTCTTTTTGCTGTTAAAATGTGGCAAAGGACGATAGTGAAGAGAGCTCCGAATAACAAATGTTAAACCGTTTCTTTCTCACTTGGGTGAACTTGACATTCCGAGAACGCAAAACACGTTGATCTTAATAAGAGAAGCCCATTGTGAAGACAAGGAGGAATGTGGCAAAGTTATAGGGCCTAGGAAAAAAAAAACATCACCACAAAGCAATTAAAAAAAAACCCTAAGCTCATAGTAACTTTTCTTTTAACTTTGCTGTTTCTCTGGCACAGACTCGAGGAAAGGTTATTAAGAAGCTATAGGCTGAAGAATCATGACCATGACATATTTAATACCAGTAAAGGACAGGGGCCAGACTGATAATGAAATGAAAGAGTCTGGCTTCGGATAAAGCTCCTTAGTAGTACTGACCTGTTGAAAGAGTCAACTGCTGCATAATTTTATGCTACTATTGTGCAAACCATGGTTCAGAGAGGTTTTCCAAATATTAGCCCCAAGAAATTTTTTCTGCTTTTTTTGATGAGTCTGCTTCTAGTTACAATGAGATTTTTTGACTTTTAAAACATTTTGTTCTATTAAGAGTATTTTATTTTAAAAATTGTAATAAAATATACATAACAGAATTTATCATTTTAGTCATTACACTTAAAAGTGTACAGTTCTGTGGCATTAAGTGCATTCATGTTGTTATGCAACTATCACTGCCATCCTTCTCCAGAATGAATTCTCTCTTTTATATTGAATAGTTGACATACACCATTACATTAATTTCAGGTATACCACACAGTGATCTGACATTATGAAATGATCACCACAATAAGTGGAGTCACCTTCTGTCACCATACAGAGTTATTACAATATTATTTGTTATATTCCCTATGCTGTGTATTATATCCCTGTGTGTTATTTATTTTATAACTGGAAGTTTGTACCCCTTAATGACCTTCACCTGTTTTGCCCATCCTCTTTTTCCCCCTCCCATCTGGCAACCAACAGTTTGTCCTCTGTATTTATGAGGCTGTTTCTTGTTTGTTTGTTCATTTGTTTTTTAGATTCCACATATAAGTGAAATTATATGGTATTTGCATTTTTCTCTCTAATTTCACTTAGCATAATATCCTCTAAGTCCATCCATGTTGTCCCAAATGACAAGATTTTGTTCTTTTTTAAGGCTGACTATATTTGCACCACATATAGTCTAGTGTATATGTATGTACCACATCTATTTTGCCCATTCATCTGTTGATGGACACTTATGTAGCTTCCATATCTTGGCTATTGTAAATAATGCTGCAGTGAAGAAAGGAGTGCATGTGTCTTTACAGATTAGCATCTTGTTTTCTTCGGGTAAATACCTAGAGGTGGAATTACTGGATCACATGGTATTTCTATTTTTAATTTCTTAAGGAATCTCCATACTGTTTTCCATAGTGGCTGCACCAATTTACAATCCCATCACCAGTACATGAGGGTTCATGTTTCTCCAAATCCTCACCAATACTTTTATTTCCTGTCTCTTTAGGACTAACCACTCTGACTGGTATGAAGTGACATCTCATTGTGGCTTTGATTTGCATTTTAGTGCTGTTGAGCATCTTTTCCTGTGCCTGTTGCCCACCTGTATGTCTTCTTTGGAAAAATGTTTATTCCAGTCCATCCATTTTTAATTGGATTATTTGTTTTTGGTGTTGAGTTGTAAGAATCAGATTTTATTATTTCACCTGTTAGTATTACACTTCTATCATTATCACCCTTGTTAGTTATTATCACACTTGTTATTATAACCTAAATTATGTTTCATAATAAATTATTTTCAATTATAGCTCAAGACAGAAGTCCTCAGATTTTTAAGAGACAAAAACCACATGTGACATTTTAAGAAATTGGCTTCATGAAATGGGCAAAACACTTTAAAAATTAATAATTGCTTCTTCTCTTAACATCCTGTGGACATTTATCAAGTCTGAGTCTGAGCAAGGTACTGAGTTAGGCTGAAGGTTTGCAAGGGCCTGTCACTGCAGGGTAATTACGATACCAAGTGGTGAATACATCTGATAGGTAAGTACAGACTTTCAGGTTAGGATCTGGGGGAGGCCTGGTAACCTCACACCTGAGAGGTTCAGAAGAGGGTTTGGGACAAAGCTTTCAAGCGAGATCTTAAGAGTAGCAGGACTCAGCCAGACAAGAGTGAAAGTCTCTCAAGTAGACACAAGATACAACACAGGCAAAGGCCTGGAGCACTGTAAGGAAGCACGCACTATATAAAATCACACTACAGCAAGGATACTCACATTTTCCCCCCATCCCAACTGATCAAATGCATGCTATCCTAAGGTACAGGCAACCTAATTTAAAGCTGGAGTCCTTAGAGGGACAGAAAGACAAGCAGTTAGACTGAACCACAATGTATGAGTATGGGAAGATATGGCTGTACAGAGGAACTGAGAGCAGTCTGAAGGCAGAGTGTGAAGCTATCTAGGAGCTTCTGTTTTCCATATGCGAAAGACAACTTCTTTCCATGTCACTGAGAAGACACTCAGGCGAGCAATCTCAAGTGACTCTTGTTTATTGGGGACCAATATACTATAGAGGGTAGAAGCCAGAATTGTTTACACCCAGGTCAGCGTTTTAGTCTGGCCTCCCTCACCTATATTTATTTTAATTATATAAATAATAACAATGGAGGCAGTCATTTCACAGTCATGCAGAAATGTTCATGTCTTTTAAAAGTGGAATGTAGTTTGGGAACCAAAACAATCAAGGCAGCTCAAGGGAGCAGGTTGTCTTGTCACTCCTCCAGCAGTGGGTGTTCACGTCCACACCACACTGGGATACCTACCATCTTACATCCGACCAAGTACGTTGACTTCTTCTTCAGTGTTTCTCCAATCTGCCTGAGATCTACTCCATTTCTGTAGAACATACAATTTCCTTATACTTTCATCCTCTTGGCATTTGGCCTGTTCCATATCTCCTCTTCTTTCTGAAAGGTCCAAAATTCCTACCCCACTACACTAAGCTAAATTATCTCTTATTTTAATAAAGTAGCAAGATGAGCATATTCCCTCATCTTCCCACTACCAACTCTCCCAATCTATGTCTGTCCCATCTTCCCTCCTTTTACAGTATAGGGCCTTAATCTACTTCCAGGACAACCACATGAGTCTCTTGAAGTGTTTGCTGAGAGTTCAAGTTTTCTGGCCCACTCAAGACCTGTAAAATTTGAATCATTGCTGGTAAGCTAGTAACTGGCAGTTTGGAATGATTACTCATACAATCATTTGAATTACTCATACTTCATAGTAACACTGTCCCCTTTACCTTTTTCTTAATAAAATGTTACTCATGACCTATGAACTCTTGGCTGTTACATGTCTATCTTTGATTAAGCAGAGTGAATTCATTTATTTACTCAACAAGGTAGTATTTCATCAACTCCAGGATGCATTTTTTCAACAATTTAATATCTCAATAGTCAAGGTTGTCTTACAATCAATAGTCTTTAGCCTCGGGCTATAGTTTAATTTGCAGTGTTTTTATTTTCTTGATAGCACATAATATAATACCGCTTCCTACAATTGATCACATCTTAGATTTCAATGAAATGTGATTTTTATAGGTTAGGCACTGTGATGGATCCTGGAGAGATGAGCAGGGAGAGAGACACACAGACAGACAGGGAGCTTCTATTGGAGGATATTGAGGAAATGTATGATAAACAAGCAAAAAACCAGGCAGGTTGTAATCAGTCATGTGGGAGCTACACATCAGGAAAGGTATCTCTGAAGAGGTGACAACTTGAACTGAGAATAAAAGGGCCTGTCATGCAGAGAACTTGGGGAAGAGGCTGCAGGCAAAAGAAATAAGGACAATGGTCCTAGGGCACATGATGCCTGACGGATCTGCATTCAGTGAATGGAACACATACTAACTGAACCAGAAGACAGAGGCCTTGTCAGCTGTGATAAGCACTGTAGTCTACGTTTCATGTGAATCACTAACTGGTTTTATAAGGGGGCGTGACATAACCTGCTTTACATAAAAAATAAAACAAAACAAAACCATTCAGGCTTTTCCTGGAGAATGGACT